GATGGAGTCGGTGGAAATTCAAGCTCCGGTAGCACCAGTGGTAAAGACACCTACAGATCTAGTACAAAATGAGACTGATATGGCTACGTCGGCAAGGAAATTAACCTTCTCGAAGGGTTTAGGGGCTTCACAACCAACCTTAGCTAAAGTTGTCCAAGGTAATCGATCTATACAGTAAGGATTGAAGTTGAATTATTATCCTCCTATCATTAAGGACGGAAGGAAAATAGTTAGACTGAACTATATAGAGGTGGAAGAGCAGAATAGGAAATGGAGGACAAGCTTAATTGGATATGTAATAGGTGGATCCCCTCAATTCAAGGAGATGTTGAAGTTTGTATATGGGGTATGGCATTTGTATCGACTCCACAAGTATTACTCCATGACGAAGGTTACTTCATCTTTAAATTTGAATATGATGATGATAGAGATCTAGTGCTTCGAAATGGGCTATACACTTTCAATAATAGGCCAATGATTTTGAAACAATGGGAACCAGATTTCCAAATGAGCAACGAAACTACAAACAATATTCCAGTATGAGTAAACTTCCCTGGGTTACCTATACAATACTGGACGGTGGAGAATTTGGGAAGAATTGCAAGTTCGATAAGGAATCCAATTTGACAAACAAATTAACAGCTCAAGAAGCAAAGATATCATATGCACACATGTTGATCGAAATGGATGTGTCTCAACCATTGCTTGAAACAGTGCTGATAGAAACTACTGATGGTAAAAATAGGGAGCAAAATTTGAGTTATGACTAGCAACCATGTTTTTGTCAAGACTGCCTCCAAATTGGGCATGGTACAGGGGAATGTAGTGCTCCAGCAGAATTAATGAAGCAACCTGGCCCTGCTCCTAAAGGTCAGGTAGGAAATAAGAAGCAAGGTGAACAATATAGAAGGGGAAGGAAACAAGTCACTAAGTGGATTGCTAAGCTAAAGGCAGTCATGGAAACTCTAGAACAAGAAGTAAGGTCTGAACCAAGTAATGAAAAAGCAACAACATCAGTAGTGATAAGGCAAGAAGTAGTTTTTAAAGGGATTAAACAGAATGAAAATGATGAGTTCCAGGTAGCAAAATCAAAAGGGAAACAGGTGCAAAGTCCCAACGTGAAAACATCAATAAGGAATGGTCTGTCTAAGGAGAATATTGAAGCTATGCTACATCAAAACAGATTCAATGCACTGAGAATTCAGGAAAGAGAGGATGCTAGCCAGGCATCTAAGGAAGGAAGAGTACCCCTTGTCCACCCTTCATGATTATTAGCTCATGGAATATTAGAGGGCTTAATAAGCCCTGTAAGCAGAAAGAACACAAGGCCTTTTTGCTTCAAAATAAAGTAACAGTGCTAGGGTGCCTTGAGACAAAAGTGAAATATGGAATGAAAAAAGAGTTAGAAGGAAGATTGGAAATGAATGGGAAGTGTTTGCAAATTATACACATGCTCCTAATGGAAGAATATGGATATTGTGGAAGACTCAACAGGTAGACATTAAAATAATACATACTGGAGCCCAACTGGTGCACTGTGAAGTTAGGGACAAAAACTCAACATTTAACTGTTGGTTAACTTTTGTGTATGGGTGTAATACAATAGTAGAAAGGCAGGAAATATGGAGTCAGCTAAGACAGATTAACAATACTATGGTGGAGGCTTGGCTTGTGATAGGAGATTTTAATACTATGCTCTCTATCACTGATAGAATTAATAGAAACCCTGTCAGCCAGAATGAGGTGGAAGACTTCCAGCTTGTGTTGAGGACACTGGTCTGGGACTGTTGAATAGAAAGGGCTGCCAATGGTCATGGTGTAATAAAAGGGAAGCTGCTGATAGAATTTACAGCAACATTGATTAGGCCTTGGGGAATCCTTACTGGTTCATGAAGTATAGTAATATAGAGGCAGTGTATGATAATTATGGGGTCTCTGATCACTCACCCATAATATTGTGCACTGAGATCACTAGAAACTTTTTAGCTAAGCCATTTAGGCTACTTACTGTGCTTCTAGAGGAGGATGAATTCAGCAAGATGGTTCAAAAGGTGTGGACTCAAAATATTACTGGATATACTATGTATTCAGTCTGGCGGAAACTGCAGGTTCTAGGGAGCAAAGCAAAAGAGATGAACAGAGCCTATAACTCAGTGGAAAAAAGGATTGAAAACCTTAGGAGCAACTGCAGAAGGTGCAAAGGGAGATTGATGATGATCTATTCAATAGTACACTGATTCTGGAGGAGAAAGAGTTATTAATGCAACTAGAGAAATGGGAAGGTATCCAAGAGAAGGTGTATAGACAAAAATCAAGGGTAGTGTGGATATCAGCAGGGGACTCTAACACAAAGTTTTTCTATGGTCAGCTGAAAGCAAGACAGGCTAGAAATAGAGTGTCTACCATTTGTAATGATCTTGGGAAAAAACTGACTGACCCCCTATTGGTAGAATAAGAGTTCATATCATTCTTTAAAGGCTTGCTAGAAACAAGGGCTTCTGAATTGCCCTGTCTTGATGTTACAATTGCCAGGAATGGACCTTGTTTGAATAGAGAACAGCAACAGACTCTTGTCAAGAGTATATCTGATATGGAGATTGTGCAGGGGCTTAAAGATATGCCAAGTGATAAAGCACCTGGCATTGATGGCTTTCCAGTTGAGTTTTTCAAGAAATATTGGAATATAGTTCGAGAAGAAACTATGAAGCCAGTCAAGGAATTCTTTGAGACAGGGAAACTATTGAAGAATGTCAACAGTACTACTATTACATTTTGGTGCCAAAGGTGACTAGTCCCTCTTCTGTAAAAGAATTTCGACCAATAGCCTGCTGTACCACCATTTACAAGCTCATTGCCAAAATTCTTACATCAAGGCTAAAAACAGTGGTGGATTTCATAGTAGGACCAGCTCAGTCAACCGTTATAGAAGGGAGAAACATACTGGATAATGTAATTATTGCTCATGAGTTGGTTAAGGGGTATAATAAAAAAGGAGTCGCGCCTAGGTGCATTATAAAAGTGGACATAAGAAAGGCTTATGATTCAGTTGAATGGCCATTCTTACGTATGGTCTTGCTGGAATATGGGATACCTATAAGATGGTACAGTGGATAATGGAATGTGTGACTACTGTGAATTATTCTATACTAATAAATGGTGGACTCACTAATAGATTTCAAGCAAGGAAGGGGCTGAGACAAGGGGATCCAATGTCCCCCTACCTGTTTGTACTAGTAATGGAGTATCTGAGTAGAACATTGAAGACTCTTAAAGACATCCCTGACTTCAATTTCCACCCAAGATGTGCCAAGTTGAACCTTACTCATATCTGTTTTGTAGATGATCTGATAATGTGTTGCACAACTGACAAGATTTCTATCCAACTATTGCTGGATAAGTTCAACCATTTCTCAAAGGTGACTGGGCTCATAGCTAACTTAGACAAGAATTCTATCTATGTAGCTGGAGTGTCTCAGGGATTCAAAGATATGATTAGTGCTGATTATCAATTCAAGATGGAAGCCTTACCATTCAAATACTTGGGAGTGCCTTTATCATCAAAAAAGTTAACAATTCAGCAGTGTATGCCATTAGTGGAGAAGATAACCAACAGAATAAGGTGCTGGACATCAAAGTTTCTATCTTACAGTGGAAGACTACAACTGATAAAGAGTGTCCTATTTGAAATGCAACATACTAGGGACAAGTGTTTCTATTGCCAAAAAAGATCATACAACTAGTGACTACTATGTGCAGAACATTTCTATGGACTGGCAGTCAAAACCTTTCAAAGAGAGCATTGATTTCCTGGGATAGAATTTGTATGCCTAGTTCAGCTAGTGGTCTAAATGTCATTAATTTCATATGGTGGAACAAAGCAGCAATTTGTAAACTAATGTGGGCTATACATACAAAAAAGGATGCGCTTTGGATCAAATGGATACATGCAGTTTATATAAAGAAGCAGGACTTCACTACAATGAGCACTCCTAGTCAAGCTTGCTGGCTGGTAAGGAAAGTATTTGACGTAAATTGGTACCTGAGTATAGACTCCTTTGCCAACATTAACAACTTCTGTAGAAAGGGACAGTTCAATATTCAGAAGGTTTACAGATTAGTGAGGCCTCAATTTCCAAAGGTTCATTGGAAGGCCTTAATATTGGGTTCAACTATACCTAGACATAACTTCATCTTATGGCTAGCGCTTCGTCATAGAATCACCACTGTGGATAGGCTGGCAGCTTAAGGGATAGAGGTAGCTAATGGCTGTGTATTGTGCAGTAGTGGGGAAACAGAAACAATGGCCCATCTATTCTTTGAATGTCAATACTCAAGGAATATCTGGAGTACGTTGCTCAACTGGTTGGGAGAGAGACATCAAATTGGACTTTGGGAAGAGGAAGTCTTATGGTTGACAGAAAGAACAAAGAATGGTAGACCTCGTAATAGCATATTGGCATTTCTGTTTGCAACAGTTTACCATACATGGACAGAAAGAAACAAGCGCAGATTTCAGGGGAGAAAGACTGATACCAAGAGAAGAATTCATGACATTGTCCTTCAACTTCATATCAAAGGGCAACAGAAGACTAAATGGAAGAAGATTTTAGAAGGAGTGAATAACTTTCCTTTATGAATGGTTGATATTATAAGTAGTAGAGGAACTATTAAGCTGTAAATAATTGTTTCTGATATTTTGCTATTTTTCTAACTCTTTAGTCCCAAGGAGTTAGAGGTGCTGTAATTATCTTTTACTGATTAAATAAAAGTTTTGATATTTAACCAAAAAAAAGTAAGACATTAAGTTCATTATTAAGCTAATAAAAAATATATGATAGTATGATAATATTAAATAATAAATAATATAATAACTGTAAGAAAAAAATAAAAAGAAAAAAGTATTTGCGTAAGAATAATGTGATGAATAAGACATATTTGACATTGGAATAAAAGCAAAGTGATAGTTAGAATTTTATTAAATAATATGTACACTTCTCCTTTCTTAGAATCCGAACCAGAATACAACAATTTGTAAGAAATCAATTGGTCTCACTCTCGTTTCCTTCTCTGCTCTCAGTCCTCGTCTCCACCGTCCCTCGCCACCGCCCACCGCCACAAAAAGGTCACTTCTCTCTCTCTTATAGAGCTGAATGAACAGTATGAGGGAAATACAAAGGATTAAGAAAAGGCTCCCAACATTCCCAATGTACTGATAGAAAACTAGGTAGTACTCTGTGCGTAGGCAGGATAGCTGCAAATTCCCAACATTAGAACCGTGAATTAAACGTTATAGCTCTCTTTTACTTTTTAATTTTTCTTTTTCTTTATTGTTCGTTTGGTCTTTTTAAATATTTTTATTATGTTTTAAAATTGAAATTGTTAATGAATAACAGCAGCAACATAGAGAAGTGAGATCCCAAAAACATCTCAGAGGCAAACAAGTTCGTTTTTTTTTTTTGATGATTTCATCACCCAAAAAGTCAAAAAACTAACCAAGCACGAAATATCTCCAGGTTTTGTCTGTGTGAGGAGTTTATTGGAATTGTTTAATTTTTTCATATTGAAATTATTATTTTACTTTTTAAACACTGTTCTTTTATTATTCGTGTTAGTTTAGTTTAGTTTATAAGCTCTCATTCTCTTTATGGTTAATTAAAGTTTATTATTTGGCTTACATTTTTTTCTGTTTTTTATTTTTCTTAAAAGATATTTAAATATGTTACTTCATTTGGAATTCTGCAATCTATTGTTAAAGTAAATAACTTTTAATTGCTTAGAGAATATACACAATCATCAAGACGTCAACTATACTATACCACATAGTATAACATTTACTTGGTATTTGTTGAGATTACTGGAGTTATTTACATAGTAATAATGTATTAAGTTAAAACCTTTTTAAATAATCAAATGTTAGTGTCTCTAGTTGGTAGGACGACTGTTACTTATGCTGAATTTTTTTTCCTGGTAGGCCTGTAGGGATTTGCAATTTAGTGCAGATATGGGAAGTGATAAGTGGGCAAGTTTTTCAGAAGGAACGAGTGATTCTGAAGGCTATGGGGAGGATCTTGATGATGATGACCATTGCTGTGCATACGCGTCCGCTGATATACCCCAGTTGCAGTTCAGGTTTCATCTCATGATATAGAAGCATGCTCTTCTGTTTGGAATTTTTATCTTCATTATGAAAAATAAATTTGAATAAGGAATGTGAATGTGCATCCTTTTGTTCAGGAAAGATATTTCAACATCGCGGTGGCTTGACCAATTAGGAATGGCTGAGGTCGTGGAGAGGAAGGGTGGATTGTGGACAACTACTGGGATAGTTCGTAACGGCAAGATATATTGCTTCATTGAAGAGATTTTGTAGGTGATGAAAATTCTTTTGTTGTTATCTCCTGTAGTTGTAGAGTCAAACATAATTGAGAATAGACCATGAGAAATTAAGGACCGGGGACAAATACGGTTTTTTTTAAGCATATTTGGTCAGAATTCAAATTTCAGATCTGTTTGGCTGAGAAAAAAAGCAAGCAAGTACTGTTCTTTAGTATCTTAATGAACCTTGAAAGAGGTATTATTTCTTTCGTTTTGATAGGCTGCAAAAATTAAAAATTGTATAGGACATAGGTCGGGTTGGCATACTTTTTCTGTTGATCTTGCCTCATCATTGGATTTGGAGGCTAATTTGGTACAGAGATTTCTCATACTCTTTAAGTGTTAGTTTCATTACCCCTCTAAGTTATGCTTGTGTACTTTAATTGCACTTTTGTTTACTGCTTTAACATTATAGAAATAGTAGTCTTGAAAGGGGGGTAAAAGCAACTTGATAAAGTACATAAAAAGATAGATAACAAAGTATTCTACTAAAGGTGTTTTGTCATTTTACAATTATAGTTGTATTATAAATTTGATATGAAAAATTTATGTTTCATTTCAGAATTATCTTCTGCAATTTTCAGTGTTTAAAGAATGATAATGGTTTTGTCATGTAGATATCTTGCCGAAATTGGGGCTCTACATCTCTTCAGCAACGATGACACACCCCTTTCTTTGGAACACATATACAACAAGGTTGCAGAAGGAAATAGAGGATGTTCCTCAGAATATTTTGAAGCATATAAGCAGTTGAAATCCCTTGGTTATATAGTCGGGCGTCATGGTATTCCTTGGTCAGTGAGAAGATCAAAAGTAAACTCTGTTATTAGCCAAGATCCCCCGGAAACTGCTCAAAGTGGAGATGAAGAATCAAGAAACAACATTCTCATCACTGAATGTTCAGTAATATGCAAATTGGTGGATTGAGACTGGCTTTTGACGTTTACCCTCCTAATAGCAGATTCAGAAAGTCTACTCCTGGTGATCCCTGCTTTGTACTTTGTCTTGCTAGGTATTGTACCTTGTTAATGCGGTTCATTATATAATGGTGCCTAGTGCCTATCAGCAATTCCATTTGTTAAGTATTGGTGAATGTTTAAGAGTAAGACGGATGGGTGGATTGGATGGAATTCTGGAATGTAGTTTTGATATTTTCCACTGTATCCCTCATCCCTCACTCTTGACCCATCTAATTTTCTTCACTCCTTTATCTGACTTTGTTGATCCACATTAACTGTCGCAGTAGCTTTATTTTGAGTGATGCACTTCTTTTTTTCTTTTTTGTGCAGTGAGTATCCACCTTCCAAAGAAGAGATTGAAGATCTTGAGGGACATTCTCATGGTGTTCCTTTGAAATTTTGTCTGGTTGAGCATGGGCGTGTGAGCTTTTTCTCATTCAACAAAGTTGAGCTTCCTATCTTTCCATGATCCGTTCGAGTAACGAATGCAAATCTTGTGATGCGATGAGAAGAGCTATGGTACAATTTTGAATTTTAAGTTTGTGAATTGATGTTCCGCCATTGTGTAATTGCAAAACATTATTTAGGTGGACCTTGTCTCCTTTGCTTATAGCAAGTCCTATGATCTTATCATCTTTTTCGTCAATGTTGTAAAAGCTGTATTGTCTACCATACATGTTACGATGATGAAACTCTAGTTGAAAGTGATCTAGTATATGTTAATAAGTTGAGCAATGAAGGTATTTAGCTCTTCCATTTCAAAAAATAAAAAATAAAAAGTCCATTTAAAAAATAAAGGTATTAGCTCTTTGCCAGAATAGAAACACTTCTATCCGTAGACTGCTGGACTGCTCTACCCAGTTTCTCAATATTTTCTTAGCTCCTTGGGATCACTCTGTTCACACTTCACAGTTTTATCAATTGATGGGTGAGGTAACTAATTCCATTCATTTTGTTTGGTCTTTACCTGGCTGCCAACTTTTAAAACATCTATTATCATTTATCAGTGAGGTTACAATTGACTAGTCAGGATGCATTGGCCAGGCTAATACTGAGACTCCATGGTTAAACGACCAATTCATTCTTCTTCATGTCTTTCTGGTGATCTGTCCTTTGTTGTTTCACTAGCAAAAGCAATTCCTCTATCTGCCTAAAAATATTTACTTTGTTTGAGGGGAGAAAAGAAAAAATGATCCATGATTAGTTTCCTACTTTCTTTCTGCCTTTATAGTAATTGATTCAGTAGCACATACAATATTTTTCATATGCAGTTCATTAAAGATAGATTGGTGTGAGCGGTGATATTAAGAGCAGCAAGATTTGCTTAGTCGATCATGCTGCTCCACACAGACAACTTTCTTGCATAGTTACACGGTATTTATGCTGGTGGGAGATGGTGGAGTAGTCAAAGTGCACAAGCTGGCCCGAACACTACTGTCTTTAAAGAAATAATCATGCTGCTCCACAAGGGCGACGTTCTTGTGTAGTTGTGGTTAAGCCACCATCTTCTACCCCATGACAGTCTCAACCTGTAACTCTAAATCCGGCCACAAGATTCAAGGATGAACCTTACATGGAGTTCCAATTCTGCTAATTTGAAAGATAAAACCGATTAAAGCTTTCAAATTTTCTCAAAACAACCTCAAAAAGAGGGGCATACAGCTTGGGAACAGGTGTTATATGTGCCATCAATGCTCAGAAAGTAGCTTATTCCTACATCGCTCAGTGGCTGCAGACTTATGGAACATGTTTTATTCATTTTTAGCACTCAACTGGGTTATGCCAGACACTATCAGGGATGTATTCAAAAGTTGGAAATTACGTCTGAGAAATGGTCCCTGCAAGTAACTTTGTGTGGGTATGGACAGAAATTAAATCGCAGATGTTTTGATGGAGTTGCAACTCCAAATCACTCCCTATAAGCTAAATGTCTTTACAATTTATTCTGCTGAAGCTACTTGTCTCCTGTACATAATAGTGATCATATTTTGGACTTTGTTAGCTCTCTGATTTTATGTTAGAGAGCACTCGTGTAACGGAGCTCACTCTCTCTTTTGTACCTAGCTTGGCAGATACACTTTTTAGTTTTTATTGAAAGTGAACTGTAGTAGATTTAATAGTGTAAAAATTATTTTATACTTCTTCGTATCAAAGTTAAACTCCAAATGGAACCACACCCTTGCCTCATGTCTAGTTTACGTCTCTTCTGTCTGTTTGGAGGGCTTGAATCTTGTGAGAGGTTGTGTACTTTCTCGTCTAAGTTTATCTTTTCTTCTTTCTTTCTTACAACAACAACATACCCAGTATTATCCCACACCGTGGGGTGTGGGGAGGGTAGTGTATATGCAGATCTTACCCTTACCTTGTAAAGATAGAGAGGCTGTTTCCAATAGACCTTTGGCTCAGGAAAGCATAAGCACCACATTAATGAAATATAGACAAGAAGGGATAGTATCAAAAAGCAATACAAAAGCAGAATAAAAACAATAAGATAGTAAGGTGATCAACAATGAAAGAAAACAACGGTTAGTCAAAAAAATTTACCACCAATAGAAAGTAAGATTGCGAGCCAATACTACTGTTATGAACACTCTAGAATACCTACTCTACTACCCTAATCCTTGACGTCTATATCTTCCTATCAAGGGTTATGTCCTCGGTCAGATGAAGCTGCGCCATGTCTTGCCTAATCACCTCTCCCCACCTCATCTTTGGCCTACCTCTACCTCTCCGTAGGCCCTCCAATGTCAACATCTTGTCCTCAATAGGGGCCACACCCACCTTGTCATGAATAACTTCATTTCTGATCCTATCTAACCTGGTGTGCCCTCGCATCCATCTCAACATCCCCATCTCTGCTACCTTCATCTTCTGAACATGAACGACCTTGACTGGCCAACACTCAGGCCCATACAACATCGTTGGGATGACCACCACTCTGTAGAACTTAACCTAAGTTTCGGTGGCACCTTTTTGTCACACAAAACACCGGAAGTGAGTCTCTATTTCATCCATCCCGCCCCAATACGATGTGTGACATCTTTATCAATCTCCCCATCCCCCTGAATAATCGACCCAAGGTACTTAAAACTTCCTCTCCTAGGGATGACCTGCGAGTCCCACCTCACCTCCTCTTTCCCTCATTGAGTCTCGCAACTGAACTTACACTCCAAGTATTTTGTCTTGGTTCTGCTCAACTTGAAACCTTTAGATTCCAGGGTCTGCCTCCATACCTCTAATTGCGCCTTCACACCGTCTCGCGTCTTGTCAATCAATAGAATATCATCTGCAAATAGCATGCACCACGGCACCTCCCCTTAGATATGGCGCGTCAGTACATTCATTGCCAGAGCAAACAAAAAAGGGCTGAGTGCCGAACCTTGATGCAACTTTCATAACCGAAAAATGGTCCGAGTCCCCACCCACCGTCCTCACTTGGGTCTTTACTCCATCATACATGTCCTTAATCAACCTAACATAGGCAACATGTACACCTCTAGCCTCCAAACATCTCCACAGAACCTCCCTCAGAACTTTATCATACGCCTTTTCTAAGTCGATGAACACCATATGCAAGTCCTTCTTTCTTTCCCTATACTGCTCCATCAATCTCCTAACAAGGTGGATGGCTCCTGTAGTCGAATGCCCCGACATAAACCCAAACTGGTTCTCAGAAATAGACACACTCCTCCTTACCCTTAGCTCAACCACTCTCTTTCAGACTTTCATAGTATGGCTAAGAGCTTGATATCCCGATAGTTATTGTAATTTTGGATATCAACTTGTTCTTGTATACAGGAACTGTCATGTTCCACCTTCACTCTTCGGACATCTTCTTCTTCTGGATATTTAAACATTCTTTACCCTTTCCGCAGCCTATTTTATCCTTTGTGACAGGAAACAATCTAACAACTAGGCCTCGAGTTGGTCCAAAGTAAGAGCATAGTGTGTAGGGAGAAAAACGTCAAAATGGCACGGTATAGCCAGTTTTCGGACTGGTCATTCAGAAATAGCCAGCGTTTACCAAGTCAATGAAAAATAGCCACTATTTTGCTGCAACAGAGACCGGTCCAGCATAATATACTGGAGTTCGGTGCACCTGTGTATGAACTCCAGCATATTATGCTGCACCGGTATACTTTGCTGGCTCCAGTATAATATACTGGAGACTGGAGCACCGGTGCTCCAAACTCCAGTATATTATGCTGGACCGGTATACTTGCTGGAACTCCAGTATATTATGCTGGAGCTCTAGTGTACTTATGCTAGAACTCCATCATATTATGCTGGAGTTCCAGCATACTTATCCTGGAACTCCAATATAATATGCTGGAGTTAAAGTATACTTACGCTGGAACTCCAGCATAATATACTGGCGTATTTTCCGAGTTTTGAACAGTGTTTTCGCTCAGATTTATCTTTACATGAACAGTGGCTAAATTTCTATTACTTTTGAAACTGGGCTATTTTTGAATGACCAGTTGTAAATCTAGCTATTTTTGAATAGATTGATTGGATTACCATGGGATAGGACTGGACATCAACATACTTGTGACGACCCAAAAGGGTCATCACCTATTTTTAATTGAATTTTGTGTCTCTGAGGCCTTGAAAACCTCATTTTGAGTCGCCTCGATTTGCGTGCACAGTCCGGGAACGTAGCCGGAAAGCTTAAATATGAAATTCTGTGAAAATGCTAAGTTTTGATGTTAAAATAAATAAGCTTGACCTTGGTCAACGTTTTGGGTAAACGGACCTAGACCCGCGATTTGACGGTCCAGGAGGGTCCGTAGGAAAATATGGGACGTGGGCGTATGCCCGGAATTGAATTCCGAGGTCCCAAGCCCGAGAAATGAATTTTTTAGTAAAATTGTTTTTTGAAATTGTTTAAGGAAATTGGAAATGAAATCTGATTAGAAAGCGATGGTATCGGGCCCGTATTTTGGTTGCGGCGCCCGGTACAGGTCTTATTTATGTTTTAAGTCCTTCCTGTGAAATTTGGTTGAAAACGGACGTCGTTTGACGTGACTCGGACCTAAATTGGAATATTTGATGTTTTATGAAGTTTGAAAGAATTCATGGATTTTGAGGTTTAATTCAATGTTATGATGTTATTTTGGCGATTTGATCGCACGAATAAGTCCGTAGGATGTTTTTGAGGTTGCGTGCATATTTGGTTTGGAGCCCCGAGGGCTCGGCTCAGCCCCTGAGGTTCCTTCTATTGATTCTGTGCCCGCTGTTCGTGAATTTCCTGATGTTTTCCCTTCAGAGCTGTCGGGTATGCCACCGGACAGGGATATTGATTTCTGCATTGATTTGGCTCCGGACACTCAGCCCATTTCTATCCCGCTGTATCGTATGGCGCCGCCTGAGTTGAAAGAGTTATAAGAGCAGCTACAGGATTTGCTTGAGAAGGGTTTCATTAGACCAGTGTTTCGCCTTGGGGTGCGCCGGTGTTATTTGTCAAGAAGAAGGATGTGTCAAAATGAGAATGTGTATTGATTACCGGCAATTGAACAAGGTTACAATCAAGAATAAGTATCCGTTGCCGAGGATTGATGATTTGTTTGACCAGGTTCAGGGTGCCAGGGTATTTTCAAAGATTGACTTGCGATCGGGCTACCATCAGTTGAGGATTAGGGCATCCGACATCCCTAAGACAGCTTTCCGCACTCGGTACGGGCATTATGAGTTCTTGGTTATGTCATTCGGGTTGACAAATGCCCCAGCAACTTTCATGGACTTGATGAACTGAGTGTTCAGGCCTTATTTGGACTCGTTCATGATAGTCTTCATTGATGATATATTGATATATTCCCGCAGCCAGGAGGAGCACGAGCAATACCTTAGAGTGGTTCTTCAGACTCTGAGGGATAGTCGGTTATATGCTAAGTTCTCGAAGTGTGAATTCTGGTTGAGTTCAGTTGCATTTCTAGGTCATGTCGTATCAGCAGAGGGTATTCAGGTGGACCCAAAGAAGATTGAGGCAGTCAAGAACTGGCCTAGACCAGCATCAGCTACAGAGATTCGGAGTTTCTTGGGGTTGGCAGGTTACTATCGTCGGTTCGTGGAGGGGTTTTCATCTATTGCAGCCCCGATGACCAGATTGACCCAGAAAGGTGCCCAGTTCAGATGGTCGGATGAGTGTGAGGCGAGCTTTCAGAAGCTCAAGACAGCTCTGACTACGGCACCGGTGTTAGTTTTGCCCACAGGTTCAGGGCCTTATATAGTCTATTGTGATGCTTCCCGTGTTGGGCTAATGTTGATGCAGGATGGCAAGGTCATTGCCTATGCTTCGAGGCAGTTAAAGATTCATGAGAAGAACTATCCGATTCATGATTTGGAGTTGGCAGCCATAGTTCACGCATTGAAGATTTGGAGGCATTATCTGTATGGCGTGGCATGTGAGGTGTTCACGGATCACAAGAGTTTTCAGTATTTGTTCAAGCAAAAGGAGTTGAATTTGAGGCAGAGGAGGTGGTTGGAGTTGTTGAAGGATTATGATGTCACCATTTTATATCATCCGGGGAAGGCAAATGTGGTGGCCGATGCTTTGAGTAGGAAGTCAGCCAGTATGGGCAGTCTTGCTTACATTCCGGTCGGTGAGAGGCCGCTTGCTTTGGATGTTCAGGCTTTGGCCAATCGATTTGTGAGGTTGGATATTTCTGAGCCTAGCCGAGTATTAGCTTGCACGGTCGCTCGTTCTTCATTATTGGGGCGTATCCGTGATCGGCAGTTTGATGATCCCCATTTGTGTGTCCTTAGAGACACGGTGTAGCGAGGAGGTGCCAAGCAGGTTACATTGGATGCTGATGGAGTCTTGAGATTGCAGGGGCGAGTTTGTGTGCCCAATGTGGATGGACTTCGAGAGTTGATTTTGGAGGAGGCCCATAGCTCCCGATACTCTATTCATCCGGGCGCCGCGAAGATGTATCAGGATTTGCGGCAGCATTATTGGTGGCGTAGAATGAAGAAGGATATCGTAGCATATGTGGCTCGTTGTTTGAATTGTCAGCAAGTTAAGTATGAGCATCAGAGGCCTGGTGGTTTATTTCAGAGGATTGAGCTTCCCGAGTGGAAGTGGGAGAGGATCACTATGGACTTTGTTACTGGACTTCCGTTGACCCGGAAGAAGTTCGATGCAGTTTGGGTCATTGTTGATAGGCTG